CTCTTTAGCAATACAATTCGCTGCTAGATAACCACTCTATTTACGACTATTGAAATATTAGTCTATCAAAGAAATGGGCATATACAAGTTCGTTTATTTCTAATTTGGGTATTGTATATGGTAGGTGCAGAATGATCCTACTAATCGACTACGTTGGTTTGTACATACCCATTAGGATAAGTCACAGCATTAAACTTTTATACATGGAGATGCGCGAAAGCCACTTCTTCACATGGTCTTGACACCCTCTCAGAACTATAATCATAAATTCCATAGTAACAAGGTGGAACTCGGCCCGCCTAAGTGCCTGATCAGTAAGGACCCTGCAAACCGTTACTGAGAGGAGATACGGGGTAGCCAACCTCTCGGGTTACAATATCGAAGTCAGGGACCCAAATGAGAATTCATCTAATCGCAGAAGCAGCCAAGAAACCATACGGGAGTACCTGCCTACCACCTTGCTGGAAACTCCTGTCTTCCGGGTTCTATAACTAAAATTAGGTTCGCCCTTGATAGTAGCTCCATGCAGGGCAATACTCAGCATGGTCGCGATGAGGCTTGGTCTCAGAGATTAGCCAATAGAGACAACGCAACCCCTTAAGCTGTCTGAAGATGATCCAGGCACGCACACAGTTCATCATCCGTCCCTGCATCAACTTACTACTATTAAGTTATGGATATGCTTTAAGGTTCACTGGGTTTACCTCTCCACGGATCGCCTTGTTTGGAATGTAACTCAATTCACCAAATGCCTATCCATTGGCTGAATGCACTCTTAAACTCAAGTTAAGCTTCGGCATAGTACTTGATACGACCATGCACTCTCTATTAACATCCGGCATCGGCGCGAAACCCCTGTACTCAATGTGCGTTCTGTGTCAGAATGGACCGAACTTCCTTGCACGTCGTCCGTGTACTCACTGAGTTCAACGTCATCTCATCTTATTCCATATGACACAATCGATATATTTGTTGAAAACCTTTCTACTCATACCTACGCTTTTGCTGCTCGTGGTGGCTGCAAGGCACGTGATACCACGGGCATCAACGAACCATTCATATAGTAGAGTTCGTGATTGAGTGGCGTAAGTAATCTTTGAAACAGACGATTAGTAACGCCTAGTTTTTCCCAGAATGCATACAAGTATCAAATATTTAGTATAGAAGCCTCCAGTAGAGGGTTGGGGATCCAGAAACGGACCCCCCTATACCAGTCCAGAAAATGAGGCTGGCACGCTCCCCATGACACACAATATACGTGTGTTGAGCTTCCAATAAGCAGACTCGCTTAATTCTAACAAAAATGACGTAACTTAAGGTGGTATATATTTGAGAACCTTAAAAGACTTGCACTCTAGGTTGTATCTAATAAATCGCGTAATGGCATCAAAAGTGAATGGGAAGATGGACCAAGGGGCATAACAAGGACAATTCGCCCATATACATATGCTATTTCAATCTTGGGAAGAAATTGATTTCCAACTGGGTATACTTTCAGACAACTAGAAAGTCAGCAGTGGGAGGAATCTTCTGAATGCCTATTCTATCAACTTTAAGTAGTTAACGATTGGTCCTCTTTATGAGATTGTAGAATATTCGCGGCATCTTCATGAAAAACGTTCTATTCCTCAATCAACTATGGTCGTGGTTGATGACCCGGTTACTGAGATTACCGCACGCACGTGGGTCGATTAGAACACAACTCAGGGGCTAATAGAAAGTTCGCACAGTAAATGTTTTTATTTTTCTTAAGTCCAGCTCTATTATTTTCCGCGATACTACATCCGCGAACAACTCCTCTATATTCTAACATCATCCACGCTCTTTCCTTCTAACTCTGATGCTGACATCTTCCGGTGGGAAGCACGCGTCCGTAAGCCATTGGTTCTGCGGCCTCTTGCCCTTGTATTCCGGCGGGAACTCGATGTCGTAGTTCATCAGAACATACGCGATGATCATCTTCAGCTCGAAGTCGACGAGGAATCGACCGGGGCAGGCGTGCTTGCCGTGACTGAAGGCGAGGTTCTGCGTCCCTGTCGACACGAAGCTTAGGCTCGCAAGGCCCGGCTTCCCCTGCTCGTCCTTCTCCGCCTCGCGGGCGCGCGAGAATCGGAATGGGTCGTATTTGAACGGGTTCTCAAAGTTGTCGATGTCCGTCTGTGTCCAGTAGGCAATGAATGATACCGTGCACCCTTTGGGAAGAGCAATGCCGTCTTCTGTGACTAGTCCGTCGCCTATGATCTTGCGTGCGACACCGCGGGTAGAGAACGAGTGTAGCCGAAGCGTCTCACGAGCTACACTATCGGCCCGCGTCATAGCGGCTACCCTACTCTTGTTCCAGGTGGACGTCTTATCGTCACCGAAGATTCGAGCGACCTCGTCGCGCAAGGTCGAGATGGTATCGAACTCGGCGTCCGAGTCTATGATGTTGAGAAGCATGTTTACGACTTGAATGCTAGTCTGGTGCATTGAGCCAAAGTTAGCGATGCATAGTCTCTTCGTCATGTCGTGTAAGCTCAGGGCTTCATCTCGGCGCTCTTTCAATCCGAAACGCATCATGATCTGAAGGTGATCCTCCGGAGTCTCCATTCCTGGGTTCGCATTCTCCTCTTCTAGTATCCGTATTCTTTCTCGGTATACTGGTTCAAAGTACTTCTCGAGATCTTTAATCCGTCGCCTAGCAGTCAGACCACCGAGGCGACCTATAATTGGCCTTAAGAGCTTCGGGCTTGCGCCGCCTAGCCCTGCATTTATTACAAGAGCATCTGCGATGTCAAGACATGCTTTTAGATACTCCTCATTTTTGCCTATAGGTAATATTAGTTTAAACCGAGTACTGCGGCGGGGAGATCGGAGAGATTATATGCGACTCACATAACTCGCGACCGACAGGGGATCCTCCTAAAGTGAAGCGAGTAGCAGCTTGGGCCACAATCATGCGAATCGTGGGCATCAAGTTGATGTCCTTCCAGGCCTTAGTATCGGTGCCAAAATGAGAATCGATCGCAATGCCTAATTCATCGTTCATAGCCGCACAAACATTCTCTAACACTGCGTTGAGATCCGTCTTCACCAACAGCCCGCCCCATGGGTCACTGGCAAATTTATCATGTCCAAGCCCATAGTACGGCTGAATGGTTTCGGTCTGCGAGGCAGCCGCACTCACGAGCCGCTCGGGTTGGCGCTGTAGCCAGCGCAACGCACTCGGCGGCAGGATGACATCGTCGTGAAATGCGAGTCCGGGAGCCAGCACAGTCTTTCCCTTTTTCGAGTACTACATATTCATTGTGAGTAAACAGCCAGCATCTAGACATGATCGATCCGTTGGAGCATTTTCATATATAGCCAACACGCACATTTTCGTAGACCTCCTTATACAGCTCGCGAGCGGCGGTGTGATACCTCCATCGTGTTCGCAGACTGAAACGAGACTTACCGCCAATCCTGGGGAGATTTGACGGATACCGGATGGTGAAGAAGAGTTGCTGGACTACCCAGGCGGCTATCAGCAGCACGACTACCCCGATCAACAAGTGCTCGCGGAGTGCTAGGTTAGCCATAGGAGGCTTTATTGCACTCTCTACACGCCACTTTGGTATAAGCCTGGCCGCCGTCGTGCGAGCTAGATACTGCCCGTCGTACCTATGCTATCGATTATCAACTAACGTTAAAAGACCGGGAACTAAGCTCCTCGTTTAGGCCGAGTGTGTTGTTGTATAACCGAACAGGATCATGAAAACTCAAAAGATAAAGAGGATGATATCAGGTGCACCCCAGATAAGAGGGCGATTTGTCCGTGAAACATGGTTAGACATAGGATACCACTAGCCGGCGGCAGGGACTTCGGATTAATCTTGTTTGGTAAGGAGGTAGGTATCATCGTTGGACAGTATATAGGTACTGTGCAAATACATGTATGTATGTATGTATGTATGTATGTACAGAGCACACCAACAACAACTATACGGCACAGTACATCTCATACCGGCACTACTTGTACACTCGTACACGCCTACTTACATCTAAATAGCGGCGGGGGAGGCGTTGGTGTCTTTCGCTAATCCACACTAACAACTATGAATAGTATCGAAAATGCCTTACGTGATGATGTGAATTGTCAGGAGTCCACATTACCTCATCACCCTTGTTCTGGCCTCTGCCTTGTTCAGTTGTCTAAGTCGAGCTCCTATTACTGTTCTTGCCTCGATCAAGTTTAGCGTTACATTAATACTGTACACGGTATGCGACACTGAGGCGACAACGGCGGCTATCAGTGGGCACGGCCAAGGCTTATAAGGACGGCTATCCACTACCGGCTCATCTTAGCGCCACTCACTGCCTAACGCGGTTAGCCGTGCTGTCGACGAAACCAACAGCCGTCGAACGATGGCTCACTGGGCTGACTTTCTTCCTCTCAACATGTAAGTAGCGCCTGATGATTTGAGAAAGAGAAGCACGACACGCTTAGCTACATGATATGTTACATGCGCTACAGCTGCAGGGTCGCCGGGGAAACTGCCCAGGTAATTAGATAAGGATAACCTCGCCTATTTGCGTCTCTGGTTGATTAACACCGACCCGAACCGGCCATGTATGATCATCTCCGAGTTGGCGACGAAAGACCCGAGCTGGACTGACAGCGCTTAGCTATCAGCCTGGCCGACAACTACCGTAGGTAGTGTGGTATTTGGGCTCCCGGTAGTCCGGGTCACTGCCTGTCAACCGCCATGTGGTATCTCTACTGTACAACTATGAAGTTCATATCTCTAGGTACATCGTGGAAGATAACGGCCTATTTCGCACTGTATATTCGAACCAATGAAAGACATATAGTGCTAGTAGATTCTGACATGTGACGGGTCTGATGCCCAGTGAAAGAGAAAGGGGATAGTTTTTTGACAGGGAGAAAAGAGAAAATAGCCAAAAAAAAATATACGAGAGAAATTTGAGACAAAAAAGTTGGTTGCTACTCCCAGTAATCTGAGAGGCATCAGGAATTGAGCCCAATGCGGGGGTCGAACCTTCAGGGTAGAGTTAGTCATTTTGCACAATCTTTTTTTTTTTTTTCAATTGTGGATAGAGTACTCACCCGCAACCTTGAGATTAAGAGTCTCACGCTCTACCGATTGAGCTAACCGGGCGGCTAATGCGTTGAGCTCTACTTGTTCTAATACAATTCATATCGAATGGAAGACGGAGTGGGCAGATAGCTGTCAAAGCGTCTTGTGGGGATACCTTGTGTATGCCCTACCCGATTCTCGTCATATAGTATTAGTGCCTCTAGAAGTCGTTTCACCAAGGCTCCGTAAAGAGTACAATACTCAGGCTAATATGTCGGTGAAGCATACTCGTCGTGTAAGAAATGTGGTCTGGATAAAGCGTCTCGGTTGGTAGTCCGACGAGCCATGTCTCAAATAATCATTGATTGAAACAGTGTACACCATACACGTTCAAATAACAATAATTAGACTAACGAAAGATCATCAAGGTAGATTTCAAATCTTGATCCTATTCATGTCTCTACATATCATAGATTATGTATTACTTATTTAGATATCCACGCGCAACATTCATTACATCACACTACGGACGAATGACATGACCAGTGACGCACGATGATACGCCGTCCGAGCCCCTAGACAGCTCTTATTTCTTGTATATTATATTGCACTTAACGGATTAGAGTTCGTACGGCAGGATATACCCGTCATTCAGCTCATCTCTACGTCGTCCAAACTAGATTTGTCCGGCGCGTCGCAATGAACTAAGCTATAGCCCTACGTCCAGGCCCCTTGGGTGCCTGGAGTGTCCGCTCTGTTCGTAGAAGTATCGTAACCGCCTCCATCGCAAGCGAAGTCGCCGAAGTCTACCAGTACGAATTGGCCGTCAATCTAAGCGACCAGGACATCGAAAAGGATGATAGTGGCTCCCCGAGGAATAGATAGATAGTTTCCTGCACTAATTTCATGATGGCCGCGGACGACGCCAAGGCAATCAACGTGAGCCTAGCGACACCAGACGACATCCCCCAGCTGATCCCCATCTTCTGGGAGGCGTTCAGCGGGCCGGGTGAGTCGACGTTTCCGCACACGGACGGCGGCCGCAAATGGCTGGAACGAAGCTTTGAGAACTTCGTCGGCAAGCCGTCGCAGTATCGTCCCGAGAGCAAGGTGCCGGTGGTGCGGAATGCCAATGGTAAGTCAAATTGTGTTGCGTGATCTTGACAGCATCCGTTTGCTCGACTGAGATATTCAAGTTCATGATATCGTTGCTTCGGGGGTACAATGTTACACGCTGAGATTCTTTGGTTGCGAGCCAACAACAATCATGATGGAATCGAGTTGACCTGAGAATTAAATCGCACCAAACAGGACACCCACTCTCGTTCGCCATCACGCACATCGTGAAACCGGGGCAAACAGCGGTCGGCCACTCGTGGAAGCAGCGCTGGAGCAGCGCAGACGACCTACCGGACGTCAGCGAAGAGCATCTGGCCAGTTTCTTCGAGCGCCTAGCTCGGGCGCATCAATTGACCATGGGCAAGGAGGGGCACGTGTGTAAGCATTCCCTATCACGTTATCTCTAAGACGACAACATCTGGTACTAGCGCTCTCGATATCGCATATCGGATGACGGGTGTGACGTCGGCCAAGTCTGCAGAGCTGATACTCAATGTGGGCATTCCGCAGACATCGAATTCTTAATGACCAAGCCGACGTCGCGCCATAAAGGGTATGCGACGGCACTTGTGAACTGGGTCACGAAGCTCGCGGACGATCTAGACTACGCTTGTTATCTCGATGGAGGTGGTCGTGGCATGGAGATGCTGGAGCATGCGGGGTTCGTGGCACACGATGTCGGGCGCAGATATGGTGACATACCACCCTGCGTGCCGATGGTGAGGCCAAAGAAGCAAGGGTAGACGACTGGGCATGTGTTGGTTATGAGAGGGGAGCGTGTAGTACACTGGGCAGGAATATATTATGAGACACTCTGGTAAAAGAACACTAAGATTGCTGTGAACATCTCAATTACTGCGCAAAGGCAATCTGGGGTCCAAGTAAATCCATCCATCTTAGCTTACACGTTTCCGGTCATAGCCTTCCTTTTCCTACCTAACTGATCTGTTTAAACATAATTGGTTTCCCATTCATAACCACGCCGTTCATGGCCTTGTTGGTGCGAGTGCGGCCTGGTCCGACAAACGAACACAGTAGTGCCGTACGAGCGAGACTGTAAAGCCACCAACATGCATGCCGGCCGTTGTGGGAATGGTACTGCGTAACGTAATATCGAATAATAAAATTGTCAACGCCTCTGCCGCCCAAAGGGTATGATTTAAAAGCCAAGCTGACACAACTGTTGTACATCCTAGCATAACGCCATAATAATATCATCTATCGTTTGATATTTCGTATCCCAATCTTTCGTGCTGTCGTGTCTAAAGCGTAGGCCGCATCATGATTCGACCCTCACTTCGAGCCGTCGAACGACATCGTCGTACATGCCGTCGATCTTGGCTAGCAAGAGGGCCCGACCCGCTTCCTGGCGGTACTCCTTGTGAAAGGCGCGGTACTCGGACGAGTGGACGGGGCTCTGTGGCACCTCTGCGCCGGTCACAATGTCTCGGGCGACATCGTCGAAGGCCGTGCTCTTCTTGGACGACGATGATAGACTCCGAGGCCGCATGTGGAGGTCTAGGCTGCTGGCCTGCTTGAGGATACCCTTGGGCCGGGACGGAGGGGAGCTGGATACTGCGTGCATTGCGGACTGCTCGGCCTAGCCTGGGAGCTGGGTTGTGAAGGGTTCCCGGGACGGAAGTGGGTGTAGTCCAGTCTTGATGTTTGATGCTGAGGTTATCTGTGTGTGTGAGAGACACTCTCACGTCTAGCGGTAGCCTCAAGAGGTTATGGTGTTATATTAGTTATGCGTATCTGGATAAGTCGCCGCTGGCTACGAATGTAAGATTAGTTGGTCGACCGCTATGTTTGAGATGGATAAGTTGGGTTTTGGCCAACGCCATCATCTGACGACGAATGATAAGAGCAGCGAGAACGGATCGTCTGCTGGTAAGGGATGTGATCCGCTACAGCGTACCGTGATCCCGCGGGTCGTTTGTGCTGTCGTGGGGGGATTGGATCGAAGAGGCACAGATCGGGAATCGGTTGATGCAATAACCAGCGTTGTAACGAGGGGAATCAAGGGCAAAGGCCCAATAGTGGCCGACTGAGGTGCCTCTGGGGTTTTGTTGGGGGGAGACGGACAATGCCCGGGGGACAATGCGCTGTCGGCGCTGTCGGCGCTGTCTATCTGCGCTGTCTGCGCTCTCTGACGTGGCCAGATGTGACGCCGTCAGGCAGGCAGGTCAGCCCGGGCCAGGCCGGCAAGCCATGCGATAGGGCCTTGTCTGGCACACTGCGCACTGAGTGGCCAGACCCCAGGGCCTCAGGCTATTGTTGCTTTTGGCACCTTAGTAGGCCCTGTCCACACGTGGCTCCGCCAAGCACCATTTGGAGACAGTATTGCTGTATAATACTGCATAATCCGCCTGTAGAGTCCTGTCGCCGTCGGGCGAAACTCTTCTGCCGCGGCTTCTCGCGACGAATACGGTGCGTCGCCTCTTGATAATCCCTCAATCACCCCGCAGCCGCATGGTTATATAGTTTGGTCTCTGCAGCATTGTCGATAACTGATGGCCGCCAAGAGGCCGGCCGAGCCGAATGGGCTTTCACCCCGAGGTAAATCGCATCTTCCCCAGCACGTCCTGTGACAGTGACAGCCGTCAATCGTATTATGAAGTAGGAAATAGGGAATGCCGGTCTGCGGATCACATCGAAAAGCTAGGATTTCGAGGTTATTTAGGCCCTAAGCCCTGGACTCCTGGATGTCTCAGTTGTTGGCGCTTTCTTTATAAATAGCTAAGACAGACGAAATAAAAACGGCAGACAAGAGTATGCAAGGCAAGATGTGTGGTACCTATGGCCAGGGTTGTCCGTTCTAGGTAGGTAGGCTGTAGGCAAGGAGCTGTGGATGTACATTATACGTAAAGCCCGCCAAAGATAACTGACCTTGCTTACGCTCTACAGAACACAGCTGCCATTTTATCGAGCATTGGATTTATCTAGAGCGTCCTCATAATTAATGATGAATCACATCACAAAAGAAAATGACATCAGATTATGGAATAGCAAGTGCACACGACCAATCCATCTATTCAGTCAGGGAGCTAACCGGTCGACAACCACGAGCATATTTCGCTGCACCCCGCATAATGATCGCCGCTTAGACCCTGAAATAGCGGCGCCCAAATGGGCTCCAAATGGCGGGGGCATAAAATTCCACGATGGAAGTTAGATTGGGTTAAACATATACTTAAGTAGAAGACTTAGCTATATCGCCTTGTCCATTCTAATCATTGAATCCGGGATTTTCTGTCCATGTGACAGAGTGTCCCAATTAGGGAGTTGAGGTGCCCCGTAAGCAATTCACCTTTCCTAGCCCACCTATAAGCTGGCTAATAGTAAGTAGGTAGGCAAATCTAGATTCTCTAGGACAAGCATACTGTACATACATGGCAGGCACCAATATTAGGTTCAGGGTGGATGATTTGACATTCCCTATCCAGCAGGAGGATTTGGGGGCTGGAATAGGTAGTCGACAATATTGGAACTTTTTCGCATCAAAATTTGCAGAATTCCTTTCTCCGTGCTTCCTTGTTAAGTACCTACATAATTCCGAGTTGAGCTTGGTTAGGAGGCAGTCAGCCCCCCCGCATCACAAGGTACCCATTTTAGGGGCCGTTTTCGCTCCTCGAGTAGTACAGTAGCTACCAAGTATGTACAGCTATGCAGGGGCCGAGACAGACCCTAGGTACATACAGAACCAACTACTCTGTACAACCGAGGGAATGGTTAGAGGTGCTCTACCCACTGTGCATTTAATCGCATCTTCTCCCATACCATGCATTTTCTTAAGTCACTTAGGAAATACAGTAGGTATGGGATTCTCTTCGAGAGGCGCTTTCGGGTATATTATTCCGGTTTATTCCAGATGTTTAAAGCTGTCTGACTAAAATACACTGTACGCACTATCCACATCGCCTTAGTCTAGTAGGGGGTGGGTCGGTCCTTTTTATCCAAAC